ACTTAACATTTCATGCCTGAATGTTGTCAGGTGGGAACATTATATTCCGTAAATAGAACTTAGCAACTCTGATCATTGATAGAACGGAACATTGGAGACTGTGTCGAATTCAGGATTTTGGTCAGGGGGTTGAGGTCATGTATAAGAGATGTTACTTTGTATCGCCATGACCTCATGGCTGGTGTAAGTCAAAACGCTTTAAATTTACTAATCTGACATTAAGAATCACAAAGGCGATGACAGTACTTTAAATAATTGAATAAAAACACAGTGAAATAACTAGCAAAAATTGTTTTCGACCTCGTTTACGCTACAAGTACGAGTGGAATTACTACAAAAGCGTAAAAAATTTCGAGATTGTCAAGCCAGAATGCAATATTGCCACGTTCTATTTTTAAAAAGAGAGAGAGTAAGAGCAAACAGATGTAGTGATTTGAAAAAAAAAATCATTTTTGGTTTAAGTCTGGGGGGGGGGGGCTTGCAGCGTCTTAGCACACACCCCCTGGATTCGCCACTGATTGCAAACCATCGAAGCCTTCATATTTATCTGGAGAAAAAAATAAAATGGAGTATGGAATTTTAAAATCTCCTAAAATGCAGTATGCCCATTTTGGTTATGGACATAGCTTACGTGTATTGTACTTTATTTACGATTTTTTATAATTTTCGAACGACACATTATTTATTGACAAAGCATTCATTTTATTTTTATGTTAAGTCTTTAACAAATTCTTATATAGAATGTGCTCACGTACCTTTAATTTAATAAAAAAAAACTGCTTAGACGGCATATTTTTTGCGGGGATTTGCAGACAAAATAATCGCCAAAAGTACGATGGTAGTCTGTAGAGTGTTATTTTTCTCTTCATTAAATACTTCAAATTCCAAAAATTGTCATTTATTTCGAGTTTTCATCGTGCATTTTAACTTATTTGATTGAAATAAAGAAAATTTAACTATTTTGGAGACATTTTAATCTATATCCGTATCTCTCGACGTTTTGTAAAAAAAGAAAGCAACATCTAATATCAATTTTATAGTAAAAATTATCAAGACATTTACTATGATGACCAGATATGTCTATTTAAAACAACAAAAGGTAAACATTAATGAAAATATTGTTTAGCAACGGATTTGGAAACCCTCTGCGCTTTTGCGCATGCGCCGCTCGGAGTTATTTTCATCAAAATAGGGGGAAAGTGAGGAATGGAAGGGTGATGTTTAGATTTTACTGAGCGTGATCTAACAAAGAACTCCGGAAATGCGCTCATATGACTCATTGCCTGACACCCCTTTCCGGTGTAAAATCGTCCAAAAGTGGTAGTCTCGGAAACAGTTGCCGAACAATATATACATCTAAAACAAAATAAACAGATCAAAATATTAAGTTTATAACCACAACATGTAATTCTAGTATATTTGATATCGGAAACTTCTCCTTATTACCCAACAGGTAAGATTAACTGATAATAATTTTGAGATATTTATTCTTCCTAAGAAGTAAAAGCATGCTGAAAGTAAGTGATTGTCTTTCTGAATGCTGGATCACTTCAATAATTTCAACACCCCTATGGGACATATCTCTTCTTACGTTTCGGTACAAGTTGACAAAGTAAGAACAAAAGTGGCAAAATGGGTTCAGTCCTTGAGTTCTCGTATACGAGGCATATGAAGAAAAAGTTTTATAATTTTTTAAAAATTCGATCTCTAGATTTTGCTCGATTTCTACGTTTTTGCACCTTCCTAAATCATAAAAACACATTTTTAAAATCATATCTGTTATGTCTTTCTAAATGTATGCCTGCGTATATGTATCCTTGTATTTAGTTATATAAGTGTTGTTTTTTTTCTAATGAAGGTTCACGCTTACCTACACAACCGACAGGGAGCCGTCCTGGCGCCGACTTCGAGAGTATATTGCTGTGGTAAGTGAGAAGATGTATATTTATCCATGTATATTTGAATAACTCAATAATACAATGAGCTAGATGGATAAAATTTGGTATGCGGTTTTATCATCAGAATTGTAGTTCTGTATCAGATTTTGGACCAAATCCTTTGAACGGTAGAGTGTCATTTGTCACTATACAAAAAATCGGAATGGGCCCTCCGAATGGAATTTGTTAGTTGGTCTTTATACCAAAACTGTTGATCTGTATGAAATTGTGGACCGAATTTAACAAAGAGAAGATATATTTTCCCAAACGCTTACTGACACAAAATGAGTTTATTCGTTATACGACGAAGTTAAGCACAAACTGCACTATATCGGGCAAGTATACCATACGTTCGGATTTCAAGCTCACGGCCGGATCTTCAAAATGTCCGGCGAGAGAGAAATTTGGTTATAATAGGGAAAATCTGACGTATTCGAACCAGCCGACGTCATTCTACCAATGAAAGGAAATTCATTGTTAATACTGTTTACATCCATTTTTGATGAGAAAGTGGATGAGGCTCCTTGTCCATGCACCAGTTCAAAGTGAAAATTAAAAGTTTTAGCAGTTTTGTTTCAATTCTGTTTTTAATTAATATAGTTTTGAATTACCAAACATTAGTGAAAATTATATATTCATTGCATTCTGACGTCTTAAATTTTTTTCACTTCCTCAAACTCTGTGCTAGTTTTATGAACGAGGATCGTTGGTAGACA